GGATGTCAGGTGAGCCTTACCAGATCCAGCTCAGCTTGTCATTTTTTTGGTGTGTGTACTGATAAATGCTCACTTTGTCATTCTTTTTTTTTTTTTTTAAATTTTCCTTTTGTATCAAGGATTGAACCCAGAGGTGCTTAATCACTGAGCCACATCCCCAACCCTTTTTATTTTTTATTTTTTAAAATTTTGAGATAGGGTCTCACTAAGTTGCTCAGGCTGGCCTTTAATTTGCAACCCTCCTGCCTCAACCTCCCTGGAATTACAGGAATTACAGGTGTGAGCTATCATGTCTGGCCCACTGTGTCATTCTTAAGAAAAACATGAAATGTCCATAAGGGGCTTTTTGTTGTTGTTRTTTTGTTTTTGGTCCCCAGGGCCAGTGACAGAAGGAACAGGCTTTGGAAATGCCCTCACTGTGCTTCCTGACAGGAGTCAGGCTGTGATTTGAGTCTGACACCTACAACTGGGGCTGGGAGGGATGAGCCCATATTGGGCCTGGGTTCTTGGGGGCTGGAGACCTGTTCTAAACAAATGGGGACATATGTATCACAGAAAATCTTGTTTTTTGATCCCAGACTGCCCACCCTCCACAGTTGCCTCAGCAGGGCTGTGCCTGAGCATTCCAAAAATCAGTCTGAACAAATTTCTTTAAAATGATATATTGTTGCCAAGAAAAAAAGAAGTCCCAGATCCAGACTGAAAGACATTTATTGCCTTTTTAAATGACTTGGTCCATGCCCCTTCCAGGAATGTGGGTAATTGGAAATTATGGAATAAGAATGTGAAAAGAGTTTTGGCATCAAGGATGTAGTGGGATTTATAATCAGAATACTAGCTTCTAGGCCCACCTCTGTCTTTCCTGGAGTATGGTTTGGGGCAAGTCACTTATACTTAGCCCTCTGAGCCTCAGTTTCCCTCTGCTATACCCACGTAGCTTCCTCCAAGGCTGCTGGGCAGTGCTCACCACCCCACTCCTGGGCTTGCTAAAGGTCAAGGCTGGGCATAGACCCCTRGGTCTCCCCCCAAGGCTACCTCTGCACCTGCACCTGTGGCGACTCTGAGATAATGGCCCAGGATCTGTGAGAGAGACACGAAACTGTCCCTTGTTCCCTACTCACCTCTACACAACATCCCAACTAMAGGGGCAGCAAGGACCTAAGAGTTCTACCCATGCAGCAAATCAGGAAACTGAGGTCCAGGCTGGGCAAGAGCATGCATAGAAGAGAGCTGGGATGTGGGACCCAGTCCTTGGAAAGAAAGCCCAACAGAGTGTCATTGACCTTCCTTTCCCTGGCCCTGGGTTCAGAGGTTAACTCAGGCCTATTCCCCCACGAGACCAGTGTTTCTAGGGAAGCCCAGAAACAGCCTGGACGGTCTCRGAAACCTATGTCTGGGCGATGACCAAGCTGCTTACTAATGTCTTCACACAGAAGGTGCAAATGTGGGGGAGCCAGGGTCCTCTCTCTCCCAGTCTAGTAGTGGCTCTGCTGGAGGTGCCTACCTGGCTGTGTCTGCTATGTGACCTCTAGGACAGTGCTGACCCTTCTCAGCCCAGGTGTTCTGCCTTCCCCAGATAGACACGTGGCCACCTTGACCTGGCCCTGCTTGGGGCACCTGCTTTGCTCACCTGGTTCTGTGCAAAGAGGAGGGACTGAATGGCTCCAAATAGGAAGAGGTCTGGGCAGTGAGGTGCCAGTCCCCCATTCTTGCCCTCCACCCCAGAGTGAGGAAGACTGCTGCTGAGGCCCAGCCCCAAGCCATCTGGGCAGCCCCAGGGTCTGCGGC